TCAATAGGTCTAGTTTAACATTTGGAGTTGAATAGAAGTTGTCTCATACAAAGATGAGGTCATTTGGATGGAAATGGTTATTCAAACCCCTAAGGAACATTTTGGTCAAAATAGCTTGACCTGTTCAACTAGGCTTGTCCATGGTCTGAGCTTTAGTCATATGCACTCCTAATGGTGTTTAGGATACATTGGAAGATGTTTCAAGTTTGATTTGAATGAGTCATGTTAAAGTTTGGAGGATGCATTGGAAGATTTTTTTTTTTTTTTTTTGCAACAAGTTATCAAGCGCTCAAACGACTATATAAACAAACATCCAGGATGGTCGTTTATATAATCCCTTGAGCGCTTGATAATTTGTTTCCAAAAAAAAAACATCAACCTCTCATCCAAATAAAGTAGAATTTCATAGTATTTAGCAAACATGGATGAAAAAGAATTAAATTTATCAAAAAAAATAATAATTTCATAAATTGATGATCATTCAAATATGGAATCAATCATGATAGTGGAAAATACTTGCCTTTGAGATGATTTTAAAATATGGTCAACTGACTGTCAAAACAATTTTACCGGCAAATAATCCAAAATCTTATAGGAATAAAAAAGTGAAAGGGTAAAAAATATATTTTCAATTCCCCTGCAAGTTAACTTCAGCCTGGAAGGAGAACCATGTATTTACTTAATATAACTCCTTATATTTGAATATCAAAAGTTAGTGCACAATGTCTTGATTAATATAACATTGTGAAAGTTGACTATGCATTGCTTATCCTTTCTTTTATCTGATTGTGTACTGAATCTTCGTACAAAACTAAGAAATTAAATTTTATATTTCTCTATCACCGCGAATATTCCAGGACGTAACATGAACTATTATTCTCATGTAGATAAGCTTCGGTTGCACTTTCTATGAAGATATATCAAAGCAAGAAATTATAGATATTTAATGAAACATAAGTCATAAATAAATCTGATAGAAGTGTGATAAAATTTAGAAAGAAGATATAGACCAATCATTGCCAATATTTATTTGATCTAATGTTGTCACGAAATGATATTTTATTGCATGAGTAATAATTTGTATATGCCATTTGATTATATTCACTTATCCTAAGTATTGTGATCACAATAAATATTAAAATTATCCCTAAGCCCTAATATCTGACATTTATTGTTATTAGTTTTATTGCACGTGTATTAAATGCACGTAGATAAAAAATTTAAAAAATATGTTATATTAAAAATTTTAATGCTATTTTTATTTAATTACATGAATATATAAATTTATTGATATTACTCGCATAAATTTTTCTTTACTAAATTATTAATTTTTGGCTCATTTGTAATTTAAAGTATAATATTTTAATGTAATAATTTTAATGATAAAATTGTAGTAAATATCTTCAGGATTACATAAAACATGTTAAAGAATTAAAGTATTAATTACTTTTTTACATATAACTTAAAAAAAAGAGTAATTATAATTATTCATTGTCATATAACATTTATAGTAAAAAATATATTATATTTATTCATGTAATATATACTCATTATTGAGGATATTCTATTTTATTGTATTTTCATTATTATTTTATTCTCTTGTCTTTATATAGACAAATTTGTGTTAATACAAAATTAATCGAACAAAAATATAGCCTTTTAGAAGTTCTAATATTGCAAGAAATAAGGGTCATTTTGGTTGTAGAAATTAATGGACTAGAACTATTGAATTTTCGGTAGCTCGTACCAAGGGTTGTTCCAAATCACCCCACTGATTTTAACCCTCCGACTCCCGGCCTCACATCCTAGTATTTTTGGTACCTTATATATATATATATACACACACACGCGCACACTATGCAAGGCATTGCAAGGAATTGGAATCATAGACTGACTTCTATTTGATGTATGAGCACTTCCTTACTATTTTCTAAAATAACTTGTAAAAATTTTTTAAATTCAAAAAATTTTTGTACAAAAAAAAATTGATTTAGAAAGCAGTATGAAAGTTGTCTCAAACGAAGTCTTAAATTGCTATATTTTGAACCAGAGACTTATGCTTCGTTTGGGACGGCTTTCTTTTTTATTTTTAAAGCAGCTTTCTAGTACAAAAATTAAAATTTGTACTATAAAGCTATTTTAAGAAGCAGAAAGAAAGTCATCCAGAATGAAGACTTAATATATATATCCATGAGCCAAATTATAAAAAGAAGCATTATATTTTAATTTCCTTATGTACATTAATATTATTCAAATCTTAAATAAATAAATTTTTAATTATTTTGTTTATGCAATGGTTAAAAATTATGTAGTTTCTTATCAATGATTTATGTAATCTTCTTACTGTTCATCTAGATTTCATATGTTTGCAGACATCATGTAGAAAAAAAAAAGACTTGTTCAGCTTATATTGAGCTTAAATTGCGTCAAGATACGTGACACTTTCTCTTGAATTTCTCGACTTTATCATGAGCTATAAGATATACTTTTCTATTTTATGAAATAACAATCAAGGCAATTGTAGATAGTCATACTTTGCAAATAAAAAAAACTATAATCTTGATAAATAAAGATATTTGCCTGTAAATTTTAGACTCCAAAACACAAAAAACAACCGTTGTAGCATCAAATATTTCATATTCATTGAGAATCAAATTTTGAAGAATATTAGTTGAGAATCTATGTTAAGTTCCATGAAACGCCGAGACTTCAGAGGACTAAAAGAAAATTATTTGAGTTCTTCGAAGTCTCCCCTTTTCATGGAACTTAACATAGATTCTCAACTAATGTTCTTCATAATCTGATATAACAACGTAGAAAAATGAAATGAGAATATAGTTTGTGCCCAAAATGATATAAGTATCTTGTGGTAATTTGAGATCGATATATGCTGAACCAAGTCTTTTTATTTTTCAACATGATATCTGCAAATATATGAACAATAGAAGATTACATAAATCATTGATAAGAAACTAAATGATTTCCAACCATTGCATAGACAGAATAATTAAGAATTTATTGGTTAAAGATTTGGATAATATTAATGTACTTAAGGTAATAATTAAAATATTTCTTATAAGCTGCTTTTTTTTTGCTGAACCACACTGCATCTTACACTATGCTCCCTCATGCAATGATGATATATTTGTTAAAAAAAAAAATACTTATTTTTTTCAAAAATAGAAAACAAAAATCAATAAAATGTAATCACAAGAAAACACCAAAATAAATGATGTTTTTTGAGAGATGACCAAAGAATTTGGCACTCTCGAGAAAATGTCAAATGATTTGATGTTCTAAGAAAATGTTACTCATTTTTTCCTTCTCTTTGCCTCCATTCCTGCTGGAGGCCTCCTTTTCTCTTCTCCTTCTCATCTTATGAAATCTACTCCTCTTATGAAGAGGTTGAGGAAGCGCTAAGGAATATGACATTTTGCTCGTCGGGTACATTATTGGTAGGAGACCTTAGTACGAGGCTCTCATGCCTACTATTAAGAAAGTTCGGAAGCTCAAAGGTACCATGTCTCCAATCTCCGTCAGACCTTGACGGTGGATTTTTAAAATAGCAAGCTTAGTTGTTCCACCTCTACCTTGTAGTGGGCTTTATTACTATCGAGAAATTCAGGATGACATTCACACGTGTGTGTGTGTATAGATTGATAGAAAGCTAAGCTTCCATATGAAGTTAACATTAGTATCTAGGGTAAAACTCAATCTCTCCACATCCTATGTGATTAGAAGCCTCAAAGCTTATTTGGCTGTGGGTCACTATTGCATCCACCAAATCTCTACCTATTTGTCATGCCTCAAATTTATCTTGGAATAATTATTCTTTTATTCTTTAATATAAAACAATCAGAACTATATAATTTATTTTATCTATATAAATACCAACAAAAAATAAAACTATCGATCAAGATTATGTATTCTACTTAGAATCTATACAATCATATTACAACTACTCTATCATGAGTAAAAAATATAGGTAAAATAACAAGAACCTAGTTTAATGGATCCTAGGCAATCTCACACTCCTGTGTTCTTATGCTGATCAAAAATCATTTAACTTGTTTAACATTTTGGAACTCAGATTTAGTTGTTCTGACATAAATATGAGAGTAGATAATAGATAATAATCTCATATTTGAAGTTAAATATAACAATTGGATTTCGAATATGTTAGTAATACTTAAGTTTATTATTTCTTTAAAACTTTGAGCGAACGGTTCCATATATCAAGATATTGACTTAATTAGGACCATCAGCTATGGTCACATATTATTTAAGAAATTTTGGGTTTATAAAAATCATAACTTTATCAAGAATAAATTTTAACACAAAATATGAGACAATAGAATTCAAAATTGGTTGGCCAGACTCGTGGGAAATCTCTTCAAAACAATTTTTCATGACCAAGTGCTCATACAGGCCACCAAAAATAAAGAACCAGGGATCAATATTCAAGCGAATTGGCCAGTTTGCTATGCTAAAAATATAAAGCTCAACTTAAAACAAACATCAAGTGAAATTAAAATTAGAAACAGATGACAGGAAATTAATCAATCAACCCAAAATGATGGCCCATATAGATAATAAGTGAGATGAGCGATTCAATAAGCAAATCATTCAATTAATTCACCATCTAACATAAGGCACGTTCTGATGGCAAATTATTCTGTGCGAACGCCGGATGCCGTCCAAAGACCAACTAGAATGCGCCACGTCACCCCCCGCTAGGTACCGTGCTCGATACTATTGATGTGACGCATTCTAGTTGGTCTCCGGACGGTAAACTGCGTTCGGCGTCCGCATAAAATAATATCTACATTCTGACATCTATAATATGACACTATTTATTATAAAGATCAACTATTTAAATCATTAATACTTATAATAATAACACGCAAATGAAAATTTTGATGCATCTTGTTGTTATCTGAAAAACAAACATAAAAAAATCCAACCACTCAAACACCACATCAAACACACAACACAGGACAAAAACTAATAACATCAACGATATATAGAACCAAACAAACACTATGTTGAGGTCTGCCTAGGCTTACCGCGTCTCTGTTTAAACTGGCATTCTCAGAAGTTAGATAATAAAAAGCATCCGTTCTGATCAAAAATAGGCAGCCTGGACAAATAGTGCAAGACAAATAAAACAAGTATACAAGCCAGGGTAATCAATATTGTCCAGCAAAACGTGAAGACATGACTACTAATCAGGGAAATGAACTGCAGGTGACAAAACAAGCAATCATACACTTCTTAACGGACAATTCTTCAAAGCTATTCACAAATGTGCGCACCCAAACAAGTGAGAGAACGGAAAAGACGATTCAAATTAATCAAGCTTCAGTGGTCAGTTGACCAGATGGAATAAGAATACTTTCACCTCCAAATGATTTTTATGAAACTTCCTCAACTTCGGCAGCGGCATCTACAGGAGATTCTTCAACAGGTTTGATCTCATGTTCTTCTCCGTTCTCTCTTTCTTCCGCCTTTCCTTGTTCCATTTTTTTCTTTATGTTTGAAGCTTTAATCTTTGAAGCAGTAGCTTTAGTTTCAGGTCTAGTAGTTGCTGATTTCAGAGAAGTTGGTTTTGAAATTGACTTCTGGGTGGCAGTTTTCTTGGGAGCTGCACCATCATGAGCAGTTGCTGAGTTGAGCTCAGACACGGGGATTTGAGTCGAGTCATTATCTTCTGAGGAATTGTTAGCCGCCGTGTTAGAGGGCTTGTGCCGTCCAAGCTTTGGGGATCGAGCCCTTGTTGTAGGGATCTGTAAGATAACAATGGTGAACGACAAAATGGATCACAAAATCTTTGTTTAGAGAACCCAACATGGCAGGGATGGTTAATCAAATCAATTGTTTTCTTGGAATGCCACTAACAGAAGATCTGAGCCATTCATTATATTTAATTCAAACTATTATGTCATTCAATGATTCTAAACATTACCTGAAAATATCTTAACCGAAATTTATACTAGCCAACAAATAAATCTGGTCTGATAAATTCAATCAATGCATATGGATGAAACTCTAAACTGGGAAAAAAAAGTTCATAGTTAATGTAAAAGTACTTCTAAATATGAGAGTTTTTTTGTGAAAGAATATTAATGAACATTATAATTGTTTTTAAAAATATGTTATAATGATTTTCATAAAAGCATATAAACATTATACTTTCAATGTCCATTTGCACAGGGTCATTCATATTAACCGAATAAAAATTAGCACTCCGATGCACTTGACGCCCATGAACTTGGTGGTGCAAGGGAAATTTCTGTAGCTAGCCACTAAAGCCTGTAGATAGGCATCCCCGGTTGGGTTCCAAGCAAATAGCCTAACGAGGGGTGCTCATCCAAATTCAGATATTGCGCTTCACATTGATGTTGAGATTGATGATCCAAAACCTATAACAAAATTCACTTCAAAATCTTCAGGGAGGCCAAGTCCCTCCGGTTCATCCACATACAAGATGGACCACGGTTGGATTCACATAACCCAACACCTTTCTCTCCTAGTTTAGCTCCCCACAATATCCAAGTGACCAAAACCCATATTGATCTTCCCCTAGTTCCTCAACAAGACTATTTGATCTTAGTTCATATATGTGTAAAATGAATGCGTTACAAGTTCATGGGGCCTCATCTCAACTCAGCCACCCCACATGAACACTAGTTTAGCACTATAAAGGTTAAGCATGGTCTGGGTAAACAAAACTAATGCCAAACCCATCTTAGATTCCCAATGAATTGACACTTCTTGTCCTTCACAAAGCTATTCTATTCCTCGGAGAAACATCGCTTGCTTTTCCATTGTTTGTTCTCTCTACTACTTGAGTGTGTTCAAGGAAAATAAAAACCAGCAACAAATCTTATCTTGGATTCCCAACTAAAACCAAACCCAAGCTTGATTCAGGAGATTAAACTAGGTTGAGTTCAAATCCTTCCCTTTATGAGCATCATACAAGTGCCACACATCACTTATTCCTAGGGGAACCTAGTTTCATCCCTGAGCAGTATATTCTGATTAAACTTGATCCTCTTGTTACTCACATTAAGAGGTAAACATCGATGAGATGTCCTGAGCCTGTTCTTAGTTCCTTGAACTTCGCCCAATGCCTTGCTCGATATCTCCCTATATTTAAGCTCTTTGTTTTCGACATTTTGAGTCAAACCTACTGAATACCTAAGGTAGCCAACCTTACTGCTAAAGCCTTAAACAAACAAACAAAACAAAACAAAATTTAAACTCTTTAAACTTGTTGCTGTCAGCCCAACATTCCTTAAACCTTATACTAAATTTCATCAAAGCCCAAGGCTCACCATCTACCAGTGCAGTTTATGATTCATGTAAGCCAAATGCTAAAACCAAATGATATCCCCCATTTCATCCGTGATAGGGCCCTGTGAGACCTAATTTCTATGATTGAAGCTCTCCATTCTTGGAGGAAGCTATATTTTCAAAACAATGAAAGCTTGGCCTTTTGACACTTAAGTCCCTCTACTTTCCCACTTTGGCTTTTGGTTGAATGAGGTCCAAATTTTCAAACTAGGATACTACTGCCCTTTTGGGTTGATGTCCCAAATAACCCTAATGAATTAGTATTCATTTATTGTGAAACATTGTCGATTCCATGCCAAGAATGTCACTTATAATGCAATGCATATTTTGAATCATCACAATTCAAGATTTTTCTAGGTTTGACTACATTGATATTACTTTATTCCCCAATTGATCAACACCTACTTCTTTCAGCACACAAAACAAGCTCTTTGGCAATCTACTCGCACTCGAGTAGGTTCAAGTCATTGTGATATGAATGCTTCAGACTCCCCTACTTCAAGAATTACTCTATCCCCCAAAAATATCCCCTTGCTAGGATTAAAGAAAAGGCTTCTTTTAACAAGTTCTCCAACCCCTGACTTAATGTATCAAAGTCACTGCATCCCCATGAGAACCACTAAAAATTTGTGGCTCCAAGAAACCCTCACATTGAAGATTAAGGTACCACCCCATAGGATCGAGAAAAAATCAATATGAGATTCGATGAAAAGCAAATTAAAAATATATCCCAAATATTTCTCATAAATGATATAAATGATAGAACATGATTTATTTAATTCTAGGGGATCGAGATCTTCCATTAGAGAGGTTAGATAGATAACAAGGAATTATGATACCATCCAAAGAAAGAATTAATTTCTTAAGGCTACAAGACAGTATAGATTTAGCTCAATAGCAAGTACATGAGGCTATATGGGTTATGATAGGAGACACACATAATCACTCTAGAATGGTTAAGGAACCTTAGAATTGAAGGCACCTCCTTAGAAGAGACAAGGGAGTCAAAACACAGATAAGCCTGAATGCCTGATAACAAGACACTTAGTAAAGAGGGTCTTATAACTTTACATAAGATAAGTGATAATTGAGCGAGCTATCCACAAAGAAAGAAAATTTAGGAATGATGAGACTTGTACCCTGAAATATTGAATGACCATAAATCATCAAAGAAGACCATCAAATCACAACTAAATGAATTGAGCATGAAAGAAGTGTCCATGGACCGATGAACGGATCTAGATCATCAAATCAGCTCAACATATTAAAAGTTAATGGGTTGCGCACAAAAAAGTAAGCAATGAGTGTTAATTACAATGAAATATCCTAACTTATGGGGGAAAAATAAGTTAAGGTCTCTTGACTACTCAGGAGGGAGCCATACAAAGGACGAACTAGAAATATTATGTAAGCACCTTTCTTAGAGATAGAAAGGGTGTTGGGACTTACAACTCTTTAACAACTAGAGGATGAATGACTAGAGTGGACTCACAATACCTCAAAAAGATATATGCCTTGATGACTAACACAAGTAAAGCTTACAACTCTATAATAAATAGAAAGAGAGCCAAATTGGATTCACAATGCTTATGGAAGCATCTAACTTGAACTCTCCATTGAAACAAAAACTATAAAGCCAAATAAGTTATGTAGGATTATTTTTCTACTCACAAGAAGAGGCATACTAATGGACTGACCGGCTAAGCTGGTCCAGCCAATCAACCCAGCCCCAGCAAGGGGAGCCGATCTAACTGGCAGGCGGAAGAGCCCTATGAGCCGCACTAGTGTAGGCGGCGGGCAAGGAAAGAGGGGGTTCAAAGGGGATTAATTCTACATTTAATTTCTTACCATAAAGAACCAAAATTGGGAGGGAATTAGGGAGGTCTATTTAGGGAAAGATGGTTGGTTTAAATTCAGATTTGGAGAGAAGTAGGAATATGTATTGAGAGAAAGAAGAGTGATTTGAATTTTGATTTGAGAGAGAATTAAGAGGGTTTATTTAGGATTAATTGGGTTATTTTATTTTCATGATGTTATTTGCTTTTGCAGGAGTTTTCTTTGGAGTTGTTCCTAGTGGTGCCTAGGATTTGTGGATAGTCAATCTACCTCTCAAATAGTATATTAACATGTATTTTGGTTTGTTGTGCCAATATCAATAAAATTAGCACATTATCTCATACTTTCTCGCTGATTTATGTTGCATTTGCTCTTCATTATTGCTGTTTTTTACTGTGGAGATCGAATTCCTATCAAATTGGTATCAGAATGCCTTTTTGGGACCTATGGTAGTTAAGAAAGTTGATGAGTTAGAGGAGAGGCTTGATGGAGAAGTTGGAAATCTGAAATTAGAATTCAGAGAGCACATTTTAGAAATTGAGGGCAGATTTTCGAATCTGTTAAGAAATGATGAAAAGGAAGTTAGAGTTTCAAGCCAAGACGGTATCATCAAAGCCACGGAAACTGAGGACAAAGCTATTATGAATAACAGGAGATTTGGGCAAGTATATTTCAGGCGTACAAATCTAAATTATGCTCTAGAGCAAATACAAGAATTTGAACCGTCTCTTGAAATTGAGATAAACACAAGTTTACCAAAAAAAAAACCTCCCTTATACCCTATAACCAAATTTGTATCCTTCCATAACTTCTTACCTTCATATAAAAATTTTGTGGTTACATTAAATGATATTCATATTCCTAATAATATTTATGAGATCTTATCTAATGAAAATTGGAAAAGTGTCATGAAAGATGAAATGCAAGCCCTAGACAAGAACAATACATGGGAGATCACTGACCTACCAATAGGAAAAAAACCAGTAGGCTGCAAATGGGTGTTCTTTGTGAAATACAAAGCTAATGATATATTGGAAAGGTATAAGGCAAGACTAGTGGCGAAAGGGTACACTCGGATGTATGACATTGACTACCAGGAAACTTTTGCACCGGTGGCCAAGATGAACACCGTGAGGACCATGCTCTCACTAGAGACTAATTATAACTGGCATCTGGAACAACTAGATGTCAAAAATGCATTCCTATATAGGGACTTTTTTCACAATGATTTCAGGAGAAATCTGGGGGTAACAAAGTGCGCAGGTTAAAAAAAGGCTCTATATGGGCTAAAACAGTCAACTAGAACTTAGTTTGGAAGATTCTCAAAAGTATGCTACTTAATGGTTATCGACAGAGCCAAGGGGACCATACATTATACTTCAAGCACTTAGACTCGGGGGAAGTCACAATTCTATTAGTTTATGTTGATGATATCATCTTGAATGGGAATGATGAAAAGGAGAAAGTTATTTTAAAGAAATGTCAAGGAATTTGAGATCAAAGATATTGGTGGATTAAAATATTTTCTTTGAATTGAAGTGGCCCACTCCAGCAAAGGAATATTTATTTCACAACAAAAATACATTAATGATCTTCTTAAAGAAACAGGCAAACTAACTTGTAAACCAGCAACAACACTAGTAAAATCAAATCTCAAATTAGGGGAAGCTAAAGAAGATCCAAATGTAAATAAAAAATCTTACTAGAGAATTTTGGGGAAATTAATCTACCTTTCCCACACCAGGCCAGATATAACGTTTGTTGTAAGCATGATCAGTCAGTTCATGCAAAATCCAAAGCAAACTCATATGCAATCTGTAGACAGAATAATACACTACTAATGGGAACCCAAGTAAATGGATTCTCTTTAGAAGAGACTATGCAATAATCCCAGAAGCAAATATTGATGTAGATTAAGCAGGATTACTAGTAGATAGACAATCTACCTCAGGATATTGTACATTCCTTGAAGGAAACCTTATTAAATGGAGGAGCAAGAAACAAAATGTAGTAGCAAGGTCAAGTGCAGAAGCAGAATACAGAGCTATGGCATTGGAAATATGTGAGCTACTATGGATCAAGATGATTCTAGAAGACCTAAGAATTAAGTGTGAAGAACCCATGAAGCTACACTGAAAACAAATCAACAATCAGCATAGCTCATAATTCGGTTCAACATGATAGGACCAAGCACATAGAAGATGACAGACATTTCATAAAAGAGAAATTAGACAGTAGTCTTATATGTATCGATCATGTCTCATCAAAAGATCAGCTTGCAGATATTCTTACCAAGAGACTCGATAACTCTATCGTTATGGGACTGATTACCAAGCTGGGAATGACAGATATGTATTCCCCAGCTTAAGGGGCAGTGTGAAATCCTAGCCATCCCTTGGCATTTTAATCCCACGGCTAGGATGGGAATTCGTGGGAGGCTCGCCTGTTACATTACATCCGTTCCTTTGCATTTTGATCCCACAGCTAGGATGAGAATCCATGGGAGGCTCACCTGGAACACGTCAATCTCCTTCTATATTTAACTGGTTGATTTAGAAAGGATTATATTAGAGCAATAATGCATGATTTTGTAATTATTTATTTCTTTATTAAGATATCTTGTATATATCTATAAATAAGGATTATTTTGTACAACAAAATTATACTTTTTCCTCTCCAATAATCAAAATTTAACAGTTACAAAAACATTGTTTGATATAAATCCATCCTTTTTTAGCTTTCATCGTTGACTCTATTAATCTTATTGATGCAACCTCACTTGCAAAAGATCCTCAAATCCACAAATCGCCACAAGGGCTTCCAAATCAACTTGCATCACTGTCTCCTTGACCATCTTTCCAACTAATCCCTCATGGTGAAGTCTGACACGAGTCACAAAAACATCTAATACAAAGTCCTGCATAATGTTACCACTGCAAACATTTAGTAAGAAATGCTACACAGCAAAATTGAGCACAAGTGTGGCCATGAAGGGAAACCAAATCTTCTTTTTTCCCATCCAAACTTTTTTTATGTTCCTGTTCCTAGTTTCCTAATTTTACACTATTTTTATGATGTGAAAGATATGTATATTGCATCACATATGAAGGTCAAACCAGTCAGACCACTTAAGCTGTTAACTGGAGCTCTGATCAGCAAAGATGTTAAAACAGAAGTTCATTTGTAAAGTGCATGATGAATTTCAGTAGATCACCAATAATTAAAATCACCACCCATAAGGAGCAAAAAAATGAATGCTATTAAGCAATATTGTGAAAACCATACCGGACAACGAACCGGGAGAAGTAGAGATTAACACTTAACAGTCTGATGATTCGATTGGGGTCGAATCGAATTACGTAATAAATATTAAAACTATTCAAATATAATATAAATTATGTAATATTTAAAATTTTAAAAGTGAATACGTATGTTGAGCGTTAATCGAGCTCTAATTAAATTTATTTGCATATGTTTTTAAAAAGATATTTCAATTTTAAAAATAATTAATTAAATAAAATTTATTATTAAAATTTTAAGAAATAATATTTATTAAACCAGCTGGTTCAACCAAACTGGAACCGATTCGATGGTTTTCCAGTTGAACCGGCGGTTCACGCGGGTTCAATGCAAATTTGGTTTTCAAACCTAACCAAACCGACAACTTGACTGATTCATGGTTGAACCGGCCAATCCAATCCGATTTTGAAAACACTGCTACAAAGAGGATGCCAAAGTCTTAGCCCTTTCAATGCAATATTTATGAAAACTAGCTACATCGCACATGAGGAACAAACCTTCGATCACAGAATAATATGTTAATCAACCTTATTAGGAAAGGATATATAAACCTAATCATAAAAAATGATTAAAGCTTATAAAATCATATGTAACAACTATAAATGTCTTCTAAACAGATCATGCTTCCATTAGCAATGGCACAATACAAAAATTTGTGGCGAAGCGCTTCATAAAAGGAACGAGGAATGAGAAAAATAAAGTTACCTTCTTCAATTCAACTTTTGGGGGACTAGGTTCTTGATAAAAACTTGGCATTGGCGTAGCTTTAAAGGTCAAACTCTTCCTCAACTGCTTGATTTCAGCCTCCTGGTTCTCCTGTATTATATCATTTTCTACGCCTACTTAAATGCCACACATGGCTAGTCTTCTAGTATGAGAATGCCACAATCATGAAAAATTCACACTAAGAGAGTGTCACCTTAGATTTTGCCTGTATGTTAGTCTTTTCCAATTCCTTTGCATTAATCCTCTCTTCCAGCTTGGTAAAATACTAAGAAACCAATAAATTAATTCCAGCACATGAAAGTAAGAGAGATTCTACATGAAATCGACCATATGCAAAAAGGCAAAAAGGCAAAAAGGTATTAATGCTAACCAACCTCCTTCCTTTTCTCTGCACGTTCTTCCAATCTGAAAGAAAACCCTGAAGCACTCCTTCGTTGAGCCGCCGCTTGAGGAGTCAGACTTCTGTATGCAGAATGTAATTAGTCATAGCACACGAGATATTCCAATCTTAAACAAACTTGCAGAAACCAAATAATAACAAGCTAGTGCTGTATGGCAAAATACCATTATCACATCTTGTGAGCAGCCATGACATGTTAATATTTGCAAAGAGAAAAGGAAATATATGAAACTAGTCGAGGAAAATTGAACAAAGCAGCATGGATGGCATCAAATCATCAAGAACTCATCCTAAGCAGCATTTGTGATCCTTCATAGTAATACACTTTCTCCCGTATTTCCTATTGGAAGCTACATCAGCATCCACTCTATCTTAATCCTTTTTTTAACCCTTAGTTACAACTTACAATACTTTAGGTCAGCCTATTCTCAATCACAATTATTCCATATTAATTATACCTACCCGTCTTATCAAGGCATACTTTGCTATTGGTGGCGTTGAGTCCAGCAAGTCCGAACTCAAAATTTTCAACTTGAATCTAACCCAAAAATGATTCAAACTTGAAATGTCGTTCAAGTAAAGCCAGCTCAAAATGAATCAATCGCTAGTCCACTCAAAATGATTTTGAGTTGCCTAAAAAATTGCAACTCCTAGGATAATATTTTTCCCCAAGAATTTGAACACTTTAAATAACTCATAAATACATAACACAAAATATGATTCTATTTCATTTTTCACTAAATATTAATTTCTTTCAATAGAAATAAATATTAAAAATCTTAAGTAAAAATAGAATTTTACTTTTGTGTATCTATATAAATCATATCTCACTTGAGTTGATTTGGATTATATTTCAAGTGAGCCAACATGGTCTAAATATTGGTCTGAGTGTTTTCCAAGCCAATATTATGGCTCATGACTTGACCTAAACTGATCAATCAATTTAAAACTCGAGCAAGTTGCATGCTATCTTTGAATTTTGATTCACATTTCCTCCTTAATCTTATCATTTATTATAACACCCAAACCACAAAAATGTTTTCACCATCTTGTTTTCAATAGGTGATACTCTCACAATCTTTCTAATATCCCTAAGACTTTTAATGAATACAATTCAAATGAGTTGCTCAAAACTTAAACTTAGAATGATCAAGTTGAGCTCAACTCAACATCAATCTAATTTAGAGTTCAGTGACCTAAACATGAATTCAGTAAATTTTAAATTGTTTTAAAATCGATTATGAGTTTAATCAAAATTAAAATGACTGAAAATGGTTTAAATGGAGCGATTCATACCATAACCACTCAGGCATTTCAAAATGTGAAAATAGCCAAATTGATTCCTATACTATTTATGGTATGTTCATTTTAACCTTGCATTTTTTTATACTCAAATTTGGTCACTCAACTTATTAAAACTTTACTCTTTTTATCTTTGATGCAACCTATTTGGTCCCTCAACTTCACTCTTCTGATAAGCTAGGTAATAAATTAAAAAATAAGAAAAATATGGGGTCAAAATGAACACACCCTAAATAGTATCGAAAATCAATTTGGTCATTTTCTCATTAATATATATATATCAATTTCAAGCCATCTCAAATTGAAATTCAAGTAAGCAACTGTAAAGTCATAATCCACTCAAAAATAGGCTCCAAATTAAGCATCCTATCTCAAAAATCCACTTCAGTAGGTTTAGATAAAATTCAATTGAAATTAAAAAAAAAAAAGGTTTCAAATTTCAGCTATTGTTATCACACCTATTTCTCACAATATAATTTCCTGTTCAAATCCATATCCATCATAAAATTATTAGTTTTATTACACTCAAACTTTCCTACCAGAGTAAGCTTTCTTTGCCCTATGCATGGAAACAACTGATTAGTCATATTCAATGCAATACGAAAGTTAAGTTCTGAAAAGAAAAAAAAAAACAGACTATTTGTGCTAAAAAAATTTCTATTCTCTGCCGCCAAAATTATCTACAACAGCTCAACATGATTAGTCAAGCTGGAAGGAACTGGGAGAAGCTAATAATACTTGAACCTATTCCATCTGCCACTGTTAAAGGACCATGATGTTAATTGACCCCATAAACCATACAATATAAACGTGTTTTCATAATGGATGGTCAAATTTCAAGAAGCTTTTGGGCAGTTCTTCTAGGACATATAAGAAAATAGAGGGTGCAGTGCAACTCGGACATAGAAATAAGAACGTACTCTGAGACTTCACACGATGCACCATCATCAACTGAACCAGTGTTCGCAGGCTTGCAATCACATAATTTGGACAATGTCAATACCAGAGAAAATAATTGTGTGAAAGAATTTATTCTCACCCTCTTTAGAAAGACCTACCACCAACTGCTGGGAGCTTCTTGCAGTTATTTTATTTTCTCTCCTAGAAGTTGTCCCACCTGCAAATTTTAAACAGAATCATGTTCAATATACATGTCCAGTGAATCTAAATTACAGCATTCAAGAGGAATCGTTCAACCCACTAGTTATCAGTTCTGAATCATTTGCGTTGGAACAGTTAGCATCAACTTTTGACAATTTCAAATCTGCTGTGCTCTTTCTCAGGCCTCTTGTAGGAATACTTTTGGCAGGAAACGAAAGGCTCTGAGAAAGTTTAGCCTTTGAATTCACCGCCCCAATCCGACCAGATCCATCCTTTTGAACCTTCTGAGCCTTAATGTTCTTCAAATTATTAGCTTGAAGAGCTGCAGCTTTCTTCAAATTAAAGAGTTCATCTTAGAAATACTTTAAACATTCCAGTCCGAGATAGAGAAAACAGTTCCACTCGTATACCTTTAAAAGATCTGAAGGTCTGTTTTCAGAAATAGCAGAGGATTCTTCAACTCCCATTTCAGAAACATTGGCATCTTGAGCAAGTAATTGGCCTTCCAGGCTGCCATTTGTTTGTGGGGTGTCAGCCCCATTCTCTTCTGAAGCAGCACCGCCTTTTGAGTCGATTTGGTTTTCCTTGTTCACACCGGATCCCATGCCATTCTTAGTCAGCGCTTTCTCCAAGCCGCCGTTAGAAAGCTCCAGTTCAATTCCGTCAGTAGCTTCCATCATATAATATAAAATAGTACCAACAGCAAATTAAACTCTGCAACAAACCAGTGATCGTCAGGAAACCCCACGAAATGGAAACACAACAAAACTAGATCTAATAAAAAAACATGGAAGAACAGGATCAATCACACGACTCACAAAAATCCAACAAAATGCCCAGCTGAAGAAGGGAACTATAACAAAAATATAAACAAAAAAAAAAGATATATTCATCAAAAAAGAAATCCACCGCGCCGAAACTTCACAAAAGACCGACAAAACGAGAAAAGCGCCACAAGAAGAAACATAAAAAGCAATCCGAGCATACCACTACAACTTCAGACACGAGGTCTATAATTTCGCAACCATAAGTTGTGGATCCGAGCGTTGACAACTGGTCACCATGATCAAAGCCATTGCCTTAGAAATATAACCCTATATAGATAGATCAAGATGCTACAATTCTGAGATCGAGCCTCTACACGGAAATAGTTCGCCGGAACCCTAGTTCCCCGTCGCGACAACGAGATTACCTTACTCGCTCCACTGCACTCCAAGTCTCGGCCCTACGAACAACTTCACTGGCAGAGCGTACTCTCAGGCGATTTTCTTCAAACGGTGCGAGGTAAGCGAGAGAGTTCAATTTAAGAAACAACCTGCTTCACGTAATGACTAACATGCCCCTGGTCCCTTGCCGTCCTTCAGAAAATGTTGTGAACTTCCTTACACGTGCGGAGTACTTATTAAAATTCATCTTGAATAAATTTTATTCAAATTAATTTAAATTCAAATCACATCCAAATATAATTCGAATAATATTTGGATAATATTTCATTCAAATTTGAACAAATTTTATTTATTTTACATCATTAGTCCTTCTTTTAACGGGTATTCACCCGCTATCATCCTCGAAACGGCGCTATATGGCGTGACTAATCATCGACTGATCCAAAGGAGGCACCCAACCCAGAAACCTCATATCCCGCACTTGATTGAACCCCACTTAAGAGGCACTGACACTCCAGGTGAATCGAGCACAGGTTGGAGGGTTCTCAACTATACTCGCCCACCAACCAACTGACCAAGCTAACCAACGATGGATCATCCTTTTTATAACTAGTTGCTAATTCAAACTCTGATCTCAAGTTCCAACCGATCGATCAAGTCTTATGATGCAAGCATCATTTAGCATTATCAATCCTGTCACAAGCCTTAGCCCCTAGCAAACTATCGTCGCATTGTCGTATATAGCTAAGTCATGTTGCACAATGCCAACTACAGTGATCCTTAACAATCTCATATGTGAGCCCAAATAGAGCTCCATTCATAATACGTTGTGGTCTTACGATGCCTGCTCTAACAACTTTCTAACCCAAATTCAATACATGTTTGAATTAGTTTTGATTTCAAATCAATCTTTTTTTTTTTTCATAGGACATTTTTTAATAAGCAATATGCATATATGAAAGATGAATAAATTAGTTTGGAATAAACTTTGAGGTATATTTTCCTAAGAAAAGAATTTACGGGCATGTTTCTACAAATTTAGGCTCTATAATGTATATAAAATCAAATACCTCTATGATAATAATATTCATGTTCATGACAAATATAATTTTATTGCTAAAATTTTAGGCATTAAAAATTTTTCTTCTAAAAATTAATCAAATCATTTTGACAAAAAAAAATTAAATTATTATTTTTTGTATAATTATTGTTTGATGAGAAGGCATTTTATGAGTTATCCCATTTAAATAATTTTTACATATTTTATAAATTTTTAATAAAAAAATAGTAACATTATAAATATATATTTTATGGCAATAGAAACTTATTTTTTAATTGTTTTAACTTTTAAATAACTATTTTTAGAGTTGAATTTGAATTTTTTTCATAAATTATTTTTTAATTACTAATTTTAAATCATTATAAAAGCTAAAACCTTAAGATTTTATTTTTTCTAATTAGCATCTTTTAGCCAATATTTAAATTGACAAAAACAATATTTATTATGGGATTAAAATAATATTTCTTGTTTTGTAATAAAGTAATATTTATCGATTCAATCCTCTTGACACCAAAAATTGTTTTACCGGTGCGTATAATAAGTAATAACTATTTTTGCCTATGGGCATTTGTGGCCGTAGGAAAGAACATGGCAAGTGGGCCCGCCCTTATCGCTTACGTGGCAAGCCAGGTGGGCCATTCTAGCGCCAGTAAAGTCCGTCTGGCAGCAACGTGGGTGGCCGGCTCATCTAACGGCTCATCCGAGTCCGGCCTGATTCCAAGTCCATCCTCACCGTCCGCTTGCCTGCTAATCATTCCTCCTTTCTGTCCAGAGCCATAGTGGTCCATGTCATGCCGCATGGACGCCAGTACAGACGCCGGACGCATGAACACGTGGCAAAAATAAATTTTGTTTCTCTATGATGTTTGTTTCAACTGATTAACAAATACGGCTTTCTCAAAACAAATTTTTACTTCTAAATTTTTTTTTTAATTAACATTAAATATTTAACCCCAAGCTCTTAAAATAACTTTTGAAGACTTATCAATTAAAATTTTATGCGCTTATGTTTGATATATTATGAAAAATTTATCTTGATTAAGCATGGATCTCGAAGTAATTTTAAATTAAAATTTATTAAATTAAATATGAAACTATCCAAACTAAAATTTTAGCAATTTTATAGTTAAACAGAAAGTCTCGAAAAGATGAACTGAACAATTTTGATCAAATCTAAGTCTAAATAGGTCCAACCAAAGACCCAAAATTTCTTTGGAAATGTTCAAATCATAAATTGAATGATCAAATGATTTTAAAATATTGTAGAGATCGACAAGACAAATCCAATGAGTCTAAAATTATCAAATTCTAGCATCATTAAGGTACTCAAATACTCAATAAACGATCCCTGATCAAAGGAATTGATATCGATCATTCATTTGAACCACTCTTAACATGCACTTAATATTCTTCTTATTTACTGGTCATGCCACTCATAAAAAATTATAAATAGACCCCTCATGCTTCACTAAGGATGAGAGGAAAAGAGAAAGAAAGAGAGGGAAGGGAAAACAGATGAAGAAGGAAGAGACATCTGAGATATCTCTTGCCACCAAGCTCCTCCTCGACCACCGCCTGCAACGATCGCCAGACTTTGGTCAGACTTCCGCCCGGCCACCAACTATCGTTAGACTTACGCCCAACCACCAATTATCTTTTTGATTCCCCCTTAATAATAACTGATCTTTATTACTATTATAATATTGTTATATATGAGGTCAAGTAAAAGTTGGATTCACTAACATTGGCTAGATACTGACTAACTTGTACATGATGGTGGTCCGATGGATTTTTCTTTAAATTTTATAATCTGGTGTTGTCTTTACTGATTCATGTGATACTGATTTGGAGTTACAAAGAGTTATTATTGTTCCATCAGATAAAAAGCGATTATTCTGTTTACTTAGACAACGAGATATTAATATGGATTATTCCTTACTAGAAAAATATCACTTAAACTAAAACTTCTTACTTGTTTAGTATAACCACTGAAATGCATATTATTGGTTCATTATTACTATTACTGTATGATTTTACTACTTTACTGCTACTATGCAGATTTATTGTTACTACATTACTTTACTGTTATTGCTACCAATTTTACTGATGACACTATACTGATATTGTTATCGATATGGACATCGATACTATTTGATACATTTATTGATTTAATGCATTGATTTCATATATTGATTTGTTATACTAACATTGAGCATGTACATATATCAAGCACACGATTAAGATATTGATTTGATACTACTGATATGGAATAATATGATAATATGTGCACATTATTATAAGATTTTACTACATTGATATGATTCTAATGGTCTTTATCGATGCTTTGGCTTTACCACTTTATAAATTTTTTTTTATCAATTGATAGTATTGATATGATGAATATTTTATCAATTCAACACCAATACTGGTCAACTGGTTTCCCCCATTGTATTCCTTTATTAGTTTTTTTAACGTAATATTTTATTGTTTACATATTGTACTAGTATTTGATTTGAGTTTTGTTATTTATGCATACAGCTATCACTGTTATGAATTGACTAGCATGCATTCTGCTTCTTTATCGTGTTTTAAATGAAATTATAAAATTTTAGTGACTTGCTAAGCTATTTAGCTCATTATATGTGGTTTAAATGATTTCATGTTAGAAAAATGTTCAAGCAAGGTTTTAAAAATCATACCAAACTAGCCAGTTCAACCATAAACCAGTTAGTTGTCCGATTCGATCCAATTTAAAAACCAGCTCCGCAACGAACCGGTGGTTCACCATTGAACCATTGAATCGATCCAAGTATGAAAGGACTGGCCAATTTTATAATTTTTTTTATTTTAATTAAATTATAAACAATTTTATTTTAATTTATTATTTTT